GTGCCCTCCGCGCCGGGGAGGCAACCCGAGAGGGYTCCTGTCACGGCTGGTGACACCCGTGACACCTGTCCGCTTAACCCGGGACACGTCGCGCGCCCCGCGTGCCCGTGTGTCACGCCGCGTCCCTCATCAATATTGCAGGAGGCTCGGCGGGGTGCGCGCCGGTAGCCACCACCGCCGCTCCTCGAGGTCTTCCAGGAGCCATGCTCCCGAATTTGGCCCCTTTGAAGGCAGCAGGGCTGGGCTTAGGTGCTCAGAGATGTTGCTCTGTGTGGTGTACAGCAAGCTGGCCTTTCCAAGCACTCAGTGAATGCAAACTAGCTAATGCTTGGACTGAACAATGCAAAGAAATATGCCAGGAACAACGAGGCCAAAGTTTTGTTTTGGGGTGCTAGAGTTATGGGTGTGTTTTGGGGTAAAATCAGGYAGATTCTATGGTCTCATAGCAGCTGCTCTGATTTAGGTTATTAAATGCAAAGCCTGACACCAATTTTAGGTCACATTTAGGCAAGGAGGTGGCAGCAAGAACAGGAGCACAGCGGCCTCAGGCAGCCYGATGCTTCCCGCTCCGTGAGCCCGCCTGGGCTGGGGAGAGATTAGACACTGAATCGGTAATGGAGCCTGGCAGGGCGATTAGCGTTTAAAGGCTTTGATCTCCTGCTTCTTGATTTTATTCCAACCCCTCGATTGAATTTCCCTCGTGTAACTGAGCTCCGCTAATCCATTCTGTCCATATATAATGGATGGAGGTTGAGTGAAGAAACACAAAACACATCACTGAATATCAGTGACAAAAAAAAATATCAGTGACAAGTGTTCAGGAAGCAGTAAAGATCCCTTCCTACCCTGCTCAAAGGGAAAGGAAGCTCAATCCTATATCTCAGCAGCTGCGGATGGGACTTGCATCCCCAGTGGCACTAACAGCCCCCAGAACTGAGCTGTGGCTCCAGAGCAAGGAGCTCATCCTGCAAACGGGAGGTCATTGGCACCATGGCTATGATTATAGGCATTGCTGTACATGCCTGTGGGTGCCAGAGCATAGTGTCCAGCAAGGTGTGGGAGAGAGAAGGCGGCAGATGAGCCTGGGTTTCCCTATGTAGCAGCCATGCCATGGTCTGTCCCCCTGTCCTGCTGACAGGGATGGAGACACTGTCCCCGGAAGGCCACCTATCTCCTGTGTCCTGTCTTCTCCCACTTGGCCATGAGGTAGAGCCCATTTGCCAGTCTGGTCATGCTCTGAAGACCAGGCGGAACCAAAGCCCAGAATCTCTTGCTGAGACTCATCCACTTAAGGACTTGGTACTCCCAAAAGAATGGGATGGGTAAGGGAGCCAGGGATGTATATCTCTGTCAAGGTTTTGTGGTCAGAAAGTCATTTTTGGATGAAGCCCCTTGTCCAGTCTCAAAGATGGCATGGCCATCCCCCCACAGGCCTGGAGAGCAGGAGGGACAAGAGAAGTGAGGCAGGATGAGGGTCAGAGCAGCGCTATCTAAGGATGGTTTCCTGCAGAAGCGCCAGTCCCACCCACTGGGCAGCACACTGCTACTTGATGCTCCTCTATCAAATATTAATGCGATGTTAATTGTGCTGTCTGTCCTTCTACAGCTTCAAACACGCTCCTTGCCCAGATCGCRCAGCAGAGCCAGGCGGGCTCTCCAGCTACTTGGACCTTTCTCTTGCCCCCAGGAGCTCTGCTTCAGGTCCCCAGATGGGGCAGGAGGACCCCACTGGGTACGTACTGCTCTCCACACAGGGTTTTGGGAGGGTTTGCTGCATTCAGCACCCACATTTTTTTCCTGTCCCAGTGCTAACAGCATGCCCAACAGCMTGGGGACATGGCACTGCTCACCATGCCTCAGTGGCCTCTGCAGTGCTGTGGGAGGGCAGGGGACAGGTTCAGCCAGCAGCTCTTGCAACRCGTTCCTTGTTGGTGCGGCTGGAGCAATGCGCTACCATGGCAGATCACCTTGCCCAGCTCCACCACAGCTGGTATCAGCCAGATCTTTTGGCTCTGGAAAAGTGCTCCATGAGCRGTGGAAACAGGTTAGTTGCGGATCCAAACGCATTTGCTTCACTAATGAGGCTTATTCTCTTCAAGGTAACAAGCGGAGGGAGCGCACGGGCGGCAGCAGGCTCTCCTCGCTCGGGTCCCGCACAGTGGTGCCCAGCAGCCCCATGAGCAGATTCCCAGCGGGGACGGAGCTCTGCAAGGCACACGGGCACCCGGCAGCAAAGGCCATTCAGAGGCGCTGGGCTCCGCTTAATGGTATCCTCAAAAAACACTTCTTCCTGCGGAGCAGGTGAGGGCGGTCAGGTGAGCTCTGGGTGCCGGGAGGAGGTCACCCGGCAAGGGGAACGGCTCCAAAGGGCTGCAAATGCAGGCGTCTGCTTGGACCTCTCTCTTCCCTACTCTGCCTTTAAGGTGCTCTCCCACCAGAGATTGCCTGCATGTGTGTGCAGGCAGAGCAGAGGAGCACCTATGTACGGCTGGCCTGAGGCTTCACTTGCYGCATTGCTGCCTTCAGGTTTGAGACAAGCCAGTGTGCAAGCACGGGTAAAAATGCTAGCTAGCAGTCATTCTACCAGGAGAGAAAAAAAAGGAAGAAAAGGGGGAAGGTGCGAAAGTCCAACCCTGACCTTGCAGTTTTCCCTTCAGACTATGGTGTCCTTGCCGCCAGCAAGCTGGGTCTAAAAGACCTCTTGGAGGCCAAGGCCCTTTGTTTCCTCCAGCTGGGGGCACGCAGAGGCKCCGGGGCACGGCAGGGCCATGCGCATGCCAGCGGCAATGGGGTCGCCCATGAGCCTGGCGCCTGCCCAAGCGGTCAGCAAAGCRGATCCCGTTGGCACATTGGCTGTGTAAGGACACCCGCCCCAACTCACTGGGGTCCACGCTCACCTTGTCACTGCTCCGCCAGGCCCGCCGGCACATGAGCCCGCAGCGGCCGCCTGCCGCCTCGCAAGAAGGAGTGGCCCGTGCGCGGCCGTCCACAGCCAGTGAGTGCCCTTCACCCYGGCCTCCGCTCCCAGCACCCCATGTTGGCACCTAATGACCCTCTTTCCTCACCAGTGACCAAGTCTTGTGGGATGATGAAGCCCAGCGAGTGCAGCAAATCCCTCCTGGCGGAGCTGAAGATCAGGAGGCCCCCGCAGCGCGCCAGGATCCCGGCGACGTTCACGGACCCCGTATGGCCCCCCATCCCATGCCTGGGTCTGGCACTTCCCCAGTCTGTCCCTGTCCTTCTCTTCCTCCCTGGGGCTATCACAGCACGGTGTCCCCAGGCAAGGGGAATGAGCCCCAGCATCACAGCACGGTGTCCCTAAGCAAGGGGAATGAGTCTGGGCTGTGTGGCAAGGGGCAGGCAGTGATGCTCCCATCACCTCCCTGCAGGCCGGGATGCTGGAGCCGGCAGCACCCCCTGGACACGGGAGCCTGCCCTGGCCACCGCCAGACCCGAGTGACGTGGACGCCCTGGTGCCCACACACGATGAGTGGGGCCGCCCCATCCCTGAGTGGAAGCGGCAGGTGATGGTGCGGCGGCTGCGCACCCGCCTGGCAGCCGATGACACCTCAGCAGACCAGGTAGGATCACGGTGGGTGCCTGCCCCAGCTGCACCCGCCTGGTTGACACAGGGGCGGCCTCTCACATCCCCTCGGCTGCAGGGCTTGGGCGGCTGGTGCTTCTCAGCATCGCGCGACGCGGTGCTGGGCCCCTTTGGGGAGCTGCTCACTGAGGCGGACCTGGCACAGCTGGAGCGGCAGGTGGAGAGCCTGCGCCTGCGGCGCCGGGGAGAGGAGTACCAGGGTGAGCTGGAGCGATTGGCACGGGAGCTGCAGGCCCTGCTGCCCGCTCCGCTGCTCCGCATCACCGTGCAGAGCCCACCGCCGGCACCGGGCCAGCCACTGCCCCTTTGGTGCGGCCGCCTGGCCGGCGTTGTGAGCAGCCTGGCCCTGCTGCTGGCTAATGCTGAGGGTGTCCGGGCCACCCCACTGCCACCGCCGCCACCACCGGCCACCCCTGCGCCCTCACGGCCCCGCGGCCCCATGGGCAACGCGGCACAGCGGGAGATCCGGCAGTGTGGTGTCTCTGTGCGTAGCCTGCGCGGCGCCTTCGAGGCCCCGRCCACGGGGAGCCCACCGGCTGTCCCAGCAGGACAGCGCCGGAGTGGGGTGGCCGGGCCGCCTGTGGAGTCGCCGAGAGCCCTTGGAGAAGTGGCCAAAAGAGAGAGTGAGGCCGGCGTCACGGAAGCGGCCAGCGACTCAGGGATCAGCTGTGGAGGCTCTTCAGATGTTAGCGGGTCTCCAGTGCCGGTGCCGGAGTCGGCAAGCCTCAGGAAGGAGCGCATCGTCATGCTCTTTCTGAGCCACTGGAAGCGGTCTGCTGAGGGCCCATCACTGCGCACCGCAGCCCGGAAAACACTGGAGGCGCAGCGTGCCCAAAGGGAGGCCACTGGCGTGSCCGGGGTGACCAAGGTGTCCACCGAGAAGATGCCAGGTGAGACGGCCAAAGTGGGACACCTGGTGCAGCAGCGGAACGCCATCCAGCAGCTCATCGGCAGCTGGAAGGACATCACGTCACACGGCCCCATGCAGCAACCGGGTGCCGGCCCCCAGGGCACCTACTCCCCCGAGCAATTCTTGCCTCACGTGGATGGGATGCCGGCCGACTATGACAGCCTCACGCTAGACCTCTTCATGCTGGGCTATTTCCGCATCCTGGAGCAGAACCTCTCTCCAGAAGAGCGCCGGGGCCGGCACCTGCTCTGCTTCGAGGTGTTCGACCACCTGGGCCGGCACAGCTGGGAGACGGTGCGCGCCTTCCACCGCGCCGTCACCGACGAGATTGGCGCCGGCCGCCGCRGCTGGACAGACAGCTTTGAAGATATCAAGGCGAGGTATTTTGGCAGCAGCAAGAGCTCTGTGTGCTGGATGGGGTCAGGCCCAGGTGCCTCAGGAAGCCCGCGGAGGCCACGGAGCCGGCCAGGCTGCGGGACTGTCCTTCCCGGCGTCAGCAATGAGGAGATCTGCAGGTACATTGACCGCAGCTTTGCCTTCTGGAAGGAGAAGGAAGCGGAGATCTTCAACTTTGAGGAGTGAGGGCTCAGTTTCCTTGGAGACTTGGGGCTTAATAAAAGAATTTTGCTGTTGTCTTGTGAAAAAAAGAAATGTATATATATGTATTTATCACTGTAGACCAAATGTCTTTCTGATGTGGTTCATGACTTTTGGTGTGATGGAGGAAGCTGGAGGATCACCCCGTGCTTCCAAGCCCGAACCCCCAGCCTCGCATGTCCTCCCCTGCCAAGGAGGGGACAAAGGGGACAACCCTGTCCTCCCGCCATGGTGGCACTTCAGCCCCCGGCCCCAGCTCTGCTGGCTACTGGGGCCACAGCTGCTCCAATTTATCCGTATCCTCCGTCGGCRGGCTGGGAAAGCTACTCGGTGCTAAGGAGCATGATAATGGCCTATATTTAGCRCACAGCATCAGCAGGTGCAGCTAGYAGGAGAGGAGGAGTGTCTCTGGGAGCGGAGGTGAGGAATAGGTCGGGTACCAGGAGCGTTTTCCTGTGCGCACGTGCCACGGTGTCACAGTCCCCAGAAGGCAGCTCAACTCGGGTGCACGCAACCAATTCTGAGGCCACCAAAACCCTGTCCCAACTCAGGGACGTGGCACCAGACAACTGCCTGCTGCCCCCTGGCTCCTTTAAGAGCAGGCGGCTGGGGACGATCAATGTCCAAACGCAGCTAAATATAGTGCCCCGGCCCAGCCCTAAGCTGCCATCAGAGACATCACTCCCCAGTGCTCAGGCGCCGGCCRCATTGCTCCGCTGGGACAGACAACACAGCGGGTGCTCGGAGCGCTACGGAGACCAGGTAGGAGCCTGCGAGGAGCAATCCCAGGAGGGATGCGTGGGAGGGACCCATCGCGCTCGGTGGAGTTGGGATAGTGGGGACGTGGGGAGCCAGGCCCTCCGCACTGTGGAGCATGCCGTCCCTCAGATGCTTGCAGGAGTGAGGGGAGGTTGTTGAGGGTTCTTCTGGTTGCGGACCGCTCTCCATGTGTGTGGACATAACCGGACATGTCTGGCACCAGCCCACACTGCAGTCCCCTGTATTTTCTCAGACTTTCTGCCTCTCGTGGTCCTCACGCTCGCTGCCCGCTGAGGCAGAAGGTCACGACCATCCTCCTCGTGGCAGAAAGTCCCTCCGTGTCTTGGAAGGAGCCCTGGCCGAGGTGGCTGTCAAACCCACCCTCCTGCCTCTCTCCATCCTCCTGAAAAATCAGTCATGGTGGCAGCCAGGCGATCTCAGACACACTGCAGTGTCACCTACCCCATGACTCAGGCCACGGGGCGGTAGTAGTTGACAGCGCACAGACTCATCGTTTCAAACACTCACAGCTCATTTATTAGCACCCAGCTGGTGCTTATAAATCATGTGGGCGACTGCAGGAAGGCACATGAATGCTCAGAGGGAGGGGACTTGTCATCGCCTTTTCCCCACAGGGACACCCTCGTCACGCTCATCAGCTGCTCCTTAGGCYAGCAGCAGCCTGTGGATTCCCCACACCAGCGTGACGTTGGCCACTGAGCAGGGCACCATGGTGAGGAACGTGGATGACTTTGACTTCTGCCTGGAATCGCATGCCCAAAGCGTGCTGGAGGGGCTGCAGCGTCTGCGCGCCAACCCCAAGCTCTCGGATGTGACGTTGCTGGTGGGTGGCCAGGAGTTCCCCTGCCACCGTGGCGTCCTGGCCCTCTGCAGCCATTACTTCGATGCCATGTTCTCCGGCAACTTCGTGGAGAGCATCACCGCCCGCGTGGAGATCAAGGACGTGGACCCCAGCGCGCTAGAAGTCTTGCTTGACTTTGCCTACACAGGCAAGATCACCATCAACCAAGCGAACGTGGAGGGGCTCATCCGCACCTCCAACCAGCTCCACTTTCCCACCATCCAGAAAGTCTGCAGCCGCTACCTCCGGCAGCAGATGGATGCCACAAACTGCCTAGGTATCTGTGAGTTTGGAGAGAGCCACGGCTGCCCTGAGGTGTCCTCCAAGGCCTGGTCTTTCTTGCAGGAGAACTTCGAAGCTGTCTCCCAGCAGGAGGAGTTCCTCCAGCTCTCCAAGGAGAGGTTGGCCACCTACCTCTCCAAGGACCAGCTGCAGGTGCAGGAGGAGCAGAGCCTGGCTGAGGCTGTGCTGCGCTGGGTGCGCTACGATGCGGGCTCCAGGGCCCAGTTCCTGCCCGAGCTGCTGGAGCTGGCCCACCTGGTCTCGCTGCCAGACCAGTACCTGCAGAACCTCCTTGCCGCAGAGCCTCTTGTCCGTGACTCGGACGCCAGCAAGGCCGTCATTGCCAGATATCGCACCATGGTCAGTGGCAACAGGGCTCCCCGTCACATGGGAAGGGGCAAGGCTAATGCTTGGTGACCCACTTACACGGGAGACCTCAAGTGTCCACAGAGCGTGGGGGCATGTGGGAAGTGCCACTGGACATCTACAGTGGTGGAGGTGTTATGGTCCTCAGCCTTGTGGCCGGATGCAGGTTGAGGAGTGATGGGTCAGGGAACGATGAGCCAGGAGTGGGTTTTGGAACCTTACGGCACTCTCCTGTCTCTGCTGTCAGCAGGGAAGCAGCTCCGGTGCCCAGAAGAGGCCCCTTGTCCTGCCGCAGAAGCTGGAGGAGGTGCTGGTGGTGGTTGGCGGCCGGGTCCTAGAGGAGAGCGAGGATGATGACAGCAGGCTGGAAATGCCAGCCACCCCCAGGAACTTCGCCTTCTACAACCCCAAGAGCAGTAAGTGCTTGAGGCAGGGGACAGGGCAACCAGATCCTGCCACACTTTGGGGGTTAATGAACCCTGTGGTCTGCCCCAAATCCACCTCCTGGCCCAGAGCCGGAGAGCAGATTGGGCATCTTGTTGCATTGAACCATCCAGCTCAAGCCCTGGCAAGGCTGGAAGTCCCATCCCCAGATCATCCTTCCCCAGAGCAGCCCACCGGCTGCTCCTGGCAAGGAGAGAGTCTCACATTTTACCCAGCACCTCCGATTGCACAACAGCCAGGAGTAAATAAAGAAAACACAGGGGAGGCTGTGAGATTTAAGCCTGGAGGTGGCTTCCAAGTGCCCAAGTCCCGCGCCCATCCTGACGTGGCACTGGGTGTCCCAAGGCCATGGCTCCATCGCTTGCGTTTGCTGCGTTCCAGGGCGCTGGATGGTTCTGCCTGACTTCCCGGATTACAACAAGTGGGGCTTTTCCGTGGTGGCTCTGAACAACAACGTATATGTCACGGGTAGGTGTGAGGGTCTTCTGGCTGACATGGGGACACCTCGAGTATCACCTCAAGGGGCGGGTGCTGAGACCCACCGACCAGGGCCTGGGGCCAAGGTGTGGGACCAGGGCTGCCCTCCAAGCCAGCATGGGTGTGATGTGGGTGCCAGCAGGTCCTCAAGTGGGGCAGAAGCACCGGGACCTCTCCCCAAAGCTCCTGAGAGCAGATCTTTGCAAGCAAGCACCCTCTCCTTGCTTTTATCTTGGATAAATTTAACAGCCCTGGATGGAAGCCAGGAGATATGAGCCTCAGAGGGGATGCTGACCAGCCTAGCATGATCCATCCCTTGCCACAGCTGTGCCATTCCTTCTCTAGGTGGCTCCCGAGGGTCCCAGAACGACACGTGGTCAACCACACAGGCCTGGCGCTTCTGCCTCAAGGAAGGCACTTGGAAGCCCATTGCCTCGATGCTGAAAGCTCGAACGAACCACACCAGCGCCGTCCTCAACGGCGAGATCTACGTCATTGGCGGTAAGGCACCGTGGGCACGCGGCACGCCAGACACAGTGACCCAAATCTTTGGGTCACTGCGCCCTTGCCCTGGGCTGAGGGGGAGCTCAGCATGCCTACGGCCCCGCAGGCACCACGGTGGACATGGTGGAAGTGGAGTGCTACGATCCCTACAACAAGAGCTGGTGCGCCGTTAGCCCGGCCCTCAAGTACGTGAGCAACTTTGCGGCTGCTGGCTGCTTGGGGAAGCTCTACCTCATCGGCTCCTGCGCTGTCAAGTACAATGCCCTGACCCTGCAGTGCTACAACCCTGTCAGAGGTGCGCACAGGGCCCCACGTTGGCGTCTCTCGTGCTCAGGGAGCACACAGAGTGCGGTTGTGCCAGGAGCCAAGGGCAGCTCAGCACGGTTGGACCTATGGGGTATGGTCAGGGTCGGCAGAGCTGGTTGCTGCTAATGGGCCCAGCATCAGCCCTGGACACAGCAAGGGGATGGATAGCGACCATCTTGGGAGCCCAGGAGCAGCRGGGGATGGAGTCTGAGCCAGAAACAAAGCTGTGGTCCTGACCCAAGGTCCATCTAGAAGGTTTCAGCATTAGGCCTCCACTCTGGGCCCAAACTCACTCCCTGGGGTGGCCTCAGCTGGGGAGTGAAAAAACATAAAGCCCCTCTGGCAAGTAGCAGCTCCTCAGACAGCTCCTGCTCAGCCCCATGGAGGTTGCTACCATTCCATGCTGCTGGTAGGAACCACTCCCTGCCTATTTCACTCAAGAAAATGGCCTTGGATGGTAGTGAGGGTGCCCCCATGTCTGGCCAGTCTGTCTCCTCTTTTTAAAGCACTCTCCTCAAATAACTGTGGTGGGGTTGGTGCTGAATTTTCTGGTCKCTGCGACATAGCTGCATTAATAGACGGGTGTCTGAAGCACTCGAACGTGATGCTGTTTCTTGCAGATTTGTGGAGTGTAATTACATCCCCGTTCATCCCAAAGTACCTCTCGGCCCCACGCTGCGCCTCCCTGCACGGGCTCATCTACCTCATTGGTGACAACACCAAGAAAGTCTATGTGTACGACCCAGAGGCAAACATCTGGCAGAAGGTAGGGTTTTCTGGGACCTGGTGAGTGTGGATCACCCAGGACGGGGACACAGGCCTCATCTGCCTGTTGAGGGTGGGTCTTAGTTATCCCTCAAAACCAAGATGCCAAACCTCTACAGGAAAGTGAGGAGGAGATGAGGGGTCTTCTGGGGCCACATCTGAGAAGGTCAGGGGCAAATCTACCAAGCCTGGGTGAAGGCCCAAGCTTGGCAGGATGGTGGAGAGGGTTTGTACCATTTGGGATTGGGATGGTTCATGGCCAGATCAACCCTTTCCCCACCATCAGGTGCCCATCAACATCTAAGTGCTGGGAAGGCCAGATCCCCAGGGCTGCCCCACAGCTTCAAGCCGGGTGAGCACTGCTGGGCATYGGGATCCTGCTCGGCTTGGGTTACAGGACTGGTGTCGGGCTCCTCCTGCAGCTGTTGGCTCCTGGTATGGAAACAGCCCCCCTGGGCTCCCTGGCCATGTGCCAGTGCCTGCCTCTCCCTCCCAGCGAGCCACTCAGCCCACCCCTCCATTAACCCCTGCAGAGCCAAACTCACTCCATCCTGCCCTCTGCCCCAGACCTGAGCTTGCTGCCTGGATGCACGGCCTTAGCTCCAAAAAATTGCACTGCATTATAATTTTTAACCAAACTTGTGCTCCTCATGGAGKGCCCTTCCTCATGGGACTCCTTCCTGCCAGGGCCTCAGCGTCAAGGTGCGAGGCACTGGGCGACCTCCTCAGCCAGTATGTCCCTGCCGCAGGTGCAGCTGCTCCATATGCTCCATGAGAATGGTGGCATGGTGCCGCTGGGCGACCACCTCTTCGTCACGGGCGGCCACTGGAAGGGCATGGACGGCGACTACCGTGTGGAGATGGAGGTGTACGACTGCGCCAAGGACCGTTGGACAAGGGAGGGCTCCCTGCCCTGCCTCTGGCTCTTTCACAGCTCTTCCTCCATCTTCATGGACACCTCCAAGTGGACCGAGGCTTTCGAGGGTGACCACGGRTGGTAGCAGAGCCTGCCACCCTTGGCTTGGATGAGCTCGGCCCCCTGTTCAGGAGGGCAAGGGCTGCTCCGACAGTGTAATTTGTGGGTTGGTTTTGCTAGATGCAAGCAGAGCGTTTCTACACACCTCATCCCGGAGCCTCTGCCTAAAATCCGCAACTCCCTGCAAGGGTGGCAAGCGGTTTGGCCGTCACGGACTCGAAAGCCGGGCTTGCTTTGGGACCCATCTGCCAGTGGGGGCAACGCCACGCTACCCAATTAAACACATCAATGTAAGCTCTGGGCTCTGCTCCCCTCGGGAGCGGGACGGGCAGCGAGCCTGGCTCCCTGGGTGCCCCATCACTCACCTCTCATCCGGCTCTTTCAGGCGCGAAAGTAGTTCCTGTGGGGAAGCCAAGATTTTCCCCTACAAATACCCTTTGCTCTTGGTTTCTGATCTTGGTTTTAAAATTTGTTCTCCCCTGCCTTCTCCCCCCCCCMAAAAAAAMCCCCAAAGTTTTTAGGACTTTATAAGGGAGAAATGTCCCRGTGCTTGGCCTGTAACACCAAGCAAAGCTCTTGCTTCTCTATGGCGTGTGGCAGCCCCAGTCTCTCTGAATGTGGGAATACCGAGGCTGTCTAGGGAAGCCCTTTCAACGATGGGCTCAGTGTCTGGCTTTGTGGGGCCCAAATGGTGCSACCCGCTTTTGGAGCTCACCACTCCGGAGCTCCTCACTGCAGTGGCTCCCACGCCAGGGCAGCAGGCTCCAGGGGAGCACCACAAGCCCCCCATGCCTGACCCTGGGCACCCACAAGGCCTGTTTGTCACTGTGCCCACGGGCACGGCTGCGCCGTTTTTCGGAGAGCACTCAACGCCCCCAAGAAGGTGCCTTGGGAGAGCTGCCACGTGGGGCGGGGCCGGGCCAGGGCCGCCCATCGCTGCCCCGGGGCTGAAGCAGGAGCACAGCCCGGGGCAGGATGCGGTGCCTCCGCCGCTGCCTCGCGGGGCTCTGCCTGGCACTGCTCTGCGCTGCCGCCTGCGCGGGGGCCACGGCGGCTCCCTGTGCGTCGCCAGCCGCCCCTGGGGCAGCGGGGACAAAGCGAGCGGGCGCCGTGGACCCCCGCGACGCCTGGGCGCTGCTGGTGAAGCGCTCGGAGGGCAAGGCAGGCGACAGCAGCAGGAGAGGCAAGGTGGGCCCCAGTCACCCGCGCCGCRGGCTGCCTGGCGCCCCGTGCCAGCAGCAGCCCGCGCAACGGCAGCTTCTTCTGCGGCTTTGCAGGGCAGCGTGCCGGGCGCTCCTGGTGCCCAAGGGCCCCCACGGGCACCGGTGGCCACCGAAGAGCTGCTGAGGGAACTGCAGCGCCTGCTCAGAGGTACTGGGAAAGAAAGCGCCGTGGGCGCAGCGAGGGGGGCTGTGCGGGAGGTAACGTGGCCCACGGGCGCAGGAAGGAAAAGGGGTGGAGGGCCTGGGGTGGGACGTGGGAGCGCCAGAAGGGATAAGGAACCAGCCTGCAGCTCCTGGCAGAGTCCTGGTGGGCTGAAGCTTCCCCAGCCCACATTGCCTGCGGGCTCTGGGTTCAGGTATGGCCAAGGASCGCCCGCAGGCAAAGGACTGCAGCRGGTGTGAGGAAGACAAAGACAGCCAAGGCAACATCCAGGCCTCGGCGTCCAGCCTGTTGGCGAGGAGTGGGCCCCGCGGGCGCGTGGAGGCGGCCTTCCGCTGCCGCACACGGAGGGACATCTTGGTGGAGCAGAGATCGCAGCGGGAGCTGCAGATCTACTACATTGTGAGTGGCGCAGGGAAGGCAGGCCAGCTGAGTGTGGCCTCCACAGCCTCTTCCCTAATGCGGGAGTYTCTCTGTGCCCCCAGCCTGAGCGCGAAGGGACCTTCCACCGTGGCCTAGGGCTGAACCTCACCAGCGGCCAGTACACGGCCCCTGTCACAGGCTACTACACCTTCATGGCCACGCTGCACATCGGTGAGCTGCGGCTCCCACCCCGTCCAGCTTTACCCCAGGTGTGGGGACGCGGCCAGGGAGGCTTGACCTCTGCTTGGCCTCTTCTCACCCGCAGTGCACCAAGGCCACCACAGGAAGGGGCAGCAGTGTGGGCGGAACCGCCTGCGTGCACTCATCTGCGTGCAGTCTCTGTGCCAGCACCACAGGTAAGGGACGCTGCGTGCAGCGCCCGGCAGGACCCACGCTCTCCAGGCCTCCGGGCAGCCTCGCTTGGGTCATGCCTGCCCAACACACACGTCACTAGAATCAAGCGAGTGTCAAATTCACAGCACAACCCCGAGTGAGGGTGCCAGAAAAGCAACACCAAGCGCTGCTTACACTGGGGGAAGAGTGATGATCCCGGCTGCGGCCGGGGCAGGCAACGAGGCCAATATCTCTGGGCAGAAGGAAGGACTCTGTGCACTTCCTAGCCTAGCCTTGGTCTGGCTTTTCCACAGCTCCCTGGAGACAGTGTCCCGGCTGGAGAGCAGTGGCGACCTCTTCACCGTCTCCGTCAGTGGAGTTCTCTACCTGCGGGTGAGTGGTGCTGGGGATCCAGCCTCAGCTCTGAGTTCAAAGGAGGCTTGAGGGGCCCCAAGTCCCTCACGGACGACAGAGACAGCACAGGGCTCTACCAGGAGAGACATCTGCTCTTGACCATGGTGCCACGCGGCGGGATGTGCCAGCGCTGCACACTGCACTGGGAGGACGTGCCCGTCACATTAAGCCGCCTCCTTGCCTTCCAGGCTGGGCAGTACGCCTCCGTTTTCATCGACAACGCCTCCCGCTTGCCCCTTACTGTGCAAAGTGGCTCCAGCTTCAGCGCTGTGCTGCTGGGGGGTTGAGAAGGCTCCGGCACTSTGCGCGTATCCAAAGCCGCTCTGCCAGCTCCGTTATCCCCGCTCCAGACCCTGCTGTCTGCCGCTGCCAGCTCTGTCATCCCCACTCGCCACTGGGAAGAGCCTTCTGCTACGGTGGAACAGCAAGCTCACTGGATAGACCCAGACCTCCAAAGCCGGAAGAAATCAGGGAGGAAAGGAAAAATAAATAAATAAATAAACCCTCCACTTCACAACAAACTGAAGGAGTGTGCTTGAATCTAAAGGCTCAGGCTGAGGATTTACCATGAAAAGCAGCACTGGGCACTGCTGCCACAGGCTGCTTTCGCTGCAGGGCTCTGCTCCATGCGAGCGTTCCCAGCAGAAGCTGGAGAGGAAAGGCCCAAGTGCCCATTTTTGCTCTTAGCAGATTTCCCAGCCCTGCTTCGAGGCCGCTGACAACAGATTAGTTGTATCACTACCTCCCCTACACATTATTATCAGCTGCTGTTTCCTGGCAGAAGGCAATGCCCTCCCAAGTTAATCTGCAAAGCAGAGCAGGGGCCTGAGCCTTGGGCACACGCCATTAAAGCAAATTCATTGTCCCCTCCCTCGCTGACTTCCCACTGTGGAGGCCTCGYGTCCTGGGCCAGGTGCTCCCTGCCCATGGCACGAGGCCCAGGACGTGGCCCGTGCCGATATGCTCCTTGGCTTGGCCCTGATAGCAGCCTAAGGCAAGGGATGGGAGCAGGGCTACGTGCGCGAGGCAGGGCCGCAGCGCCGGTGCCCGAGCGGGCTGGGCGTGGGGCAGTGCGGCACGTGGCGCCGCGCTGAAGCGGCACCGCCAGATAGGCTGTGACTACACCCAGCCCCATGGGCACCCGAGGACCCCAGCACGTAGGCAAGGGGCAGGGCAGCCTCCTCTGCATCCCGCGTGGGCCTCAAGGCAGCCCACGAGCAGCCCCGGCTGCAGTCCTSCCTCGGTGGTTAGGCACTGGCGGAAGCTCCGTTTCCGCAGCCTTAACGCCGAGCTTTTCCCGGCAGCCAAGGAGAATGTGTCCCCAGGAGGCTAAATCTCACAGGGAATAGGAATAAGAAATGGAAAAGGTGSTTGTGCAGCAGCTGAGCTAGCGGGCAGCAGTCACCGGGCAGGGACGAGGCCTGCGCAGCTCTCACCATGCTGAGCAACTTCCTAGCCAGGTGCGACCATGAGACAAGCTGTGCTCAGTACAGCCTATTTCTTTTCCTCCTGAGTGCAGGCTCCAGGAGGATTCACTTTTGGAGAACAGCCCTTGTCCAGCTGGTAAGCAGGGGGTGGCAAGAGGCTCCTAGATGAGTTATTGAGGCTAGTGTTGAACCTGCCCTCACACTTTTCTCCCAAGCTTGATAAAACCTGCTCCGTATGTCATTACACCACACGTTTATTCACGGTGTGTAGTGCTCTGCTTTCTGTGCCTGGCTAGAGTGGGGCTTTCAGCATTCTTTCTGACGAGAATATTTGCAGGAGGGGAAGGGAGGGCTAAGAGAAGGTCCAAGTGACACTCCCTTTGCTGCCTCTTGCCTGGCAAGGACGAGATGCCTCCTGCTGGAGGCAGCACGGGCGACTGGCACAGCCCAGCTCAAGCTCTCCCCACAGCAGGAGCTTGGGGAGGGCCAGCTATCCTCTCCGACGCTGTGGACCGCGTACACTGAGTGCTACTGCAGCCATTTCCAGCTTTGAATGGTGAAAAGCCAAGGAACAGCAGCACAGTTTGAACACTCATCGCCGAGGCACTTTCTACCTAGTCCTGCAACTAAGCACRCTCAAGAGCACTGCTGTAACCAAAAGTCTTTTGTCATTCAGAGGAGAGAAGAGGCCCCAGGGTCCTGCACCAGGATGCAGGAGCATCTCTCCAACCTCTAGGGCTTGCAGGCAGCAGAGAAAGCTCAGGGAAACCTCACGATTACATGCATGTRGCAGGAACCACCACATCAACCCAACCAGAGGTTGTCTTGCCCACAGGTCAGGGAAGTCACGGAGTTTGTAAAACGGCTTGAGAAACATGCTTGGGTGTCAAATCTATTTTTGCCTCCCTGCTGTCATTTGACTCTTAAGCCATCACAAGGTGTTAAGGAGGGAGATATACTACTTCTTTTCCAAATGGTTCTCTGGAAAATGGCATCACTTGCTCTCTGCACCAGCAGCTGCTAGAAGAATGAGTAAGGGATAGGAAACATATTGAATAGCAGCTAGTACTTTAAACAGGATTCCTGTTCCTTGGATAGCACAAAGACTGGGACTAGGGACAAGCGTTGAGCCTGCACCTGTCTTCACTTCATGGTAGATCCTTTGGTGAATCCCTTTGAAAACGCTTTCTCAGTTATCAACGTATTGGGAACAAATTTCAGGTGCTTCTGCTATTTCAGTAACTGGGATAACAGCACGTAACCTCMGAAAGCAAAGTCCACAATTCCAGAGCTTAAACTATGTATTTCCCAGGACTAAGAGCATGGCCAGTGTCAGCTTCCAGGCCACATGGCCTGGCCTCCCCTGGAGCTCCCACCAAGTCCGGCAGACTTGAGAGGAAACAAAGCCCCAAACTGCCCCCATTTTCAATGGCTGGCTGTTCAAACACAGAGATAAGGATTTATTATCTGATTTTTTATGACACTCACAGCAGGGATGGACAAGTGATTTCCCTGCAGGCTGACCCCCTGGGGCAGCCTTTGCCATTTATAAAGCACTGCGGGCCAACTGAACTAAAACYATTAGAAAAGACCTTTATTTACACTGAAGAGCTTTGGAGAGGAGCCTCCCTGCCCCGTCCACATGCGCCCCCGCTTCTCCCTCCCTTTGGTGGGCCAGGAGCAGCTTGGTGCCCGCCTCAGTGCTCTATCCGCACCAGCATGACGGTGACGTTGTCTGCCGAGCCTCGCTGCACTGCCTTGTTGGCCAGTCTGCTACACGCAGCTTCGTACCGAGCATCTGCTTCCAGCTTCCCTTCTCTCGTCTGGATGTTCTTATCCTGTTGGAGCAAGGAAAGACGACATGGGTTGCGCCCAGCAAAGCACCAAGGTGCGAGCACTGGGGCATTTCCACTGATGCTTGCTTACATGGAGCAAGCAAAAAAAAAAAAAMMAAAAAAAAMACAAGGATAAGCCCAGATCTATGGAGCAGCCTGACAGCGCTTCACAGATCTCTCATCAGCCCCAGCAGAAGTGCCACATGCGCAGTGCTCAGTTTGGTTTTAGCCTACAGGAAGCAGGTCACATCCCGTTTTGTGCTTCCTGCACTGCTGCAAAGAGCACACAAGCAGTACAACCCCCTCAAGCCGCCTCCTCCTCACCTCCAGACAGGACACGATGAAGGTCACAGCTTCTTCTGGAGTAAAGACCTTGAAGAGGCCATCACACGCTATCAGGATGAACCTGAAGGTGAATGAAGGCAGGCTGTAAAGCTGCATCTTCGACTGCATAGCAACAACAAAATCCCCCCAGCCTATTTTATGAGCAACCCTGCTCCAGTCCAAAGGGAAGATGCCATCAAGCTCACCCAAAAATCCCTTGGGAGCATGAGGCAGTGCTCCTGGAGCTGAGGCAGCTCAAAACACACTGGTTAGACAGGCAATGTCAGGCCTAGATCAGGACATCCCGAGAGAGCTACTGACAGTGCACAGTCATCCCAAACCACATACAATGTCCCTAAGCCCTGCTTGAAGGCTCCAGTGTTTCTTTAGAAACTGTTTCTTCCTTCTAAGACCTTTTCAATTGCTTATTTTGCCTGCAAAGCAGCTAGCATAAGGAAACAGAGACTTCCAGGAGGTTAATACTTCAAGTGCATGCCTTTAAAGCCTCTAAAACCTCACGCTCCTGGAGGGAGCGTTAAAAATACTCCCAAGAGCAAGAGAGCAGCTTAGCCCCAGAAGAGGAAGATATAAAGATATAAAAGAGGAAGCACAGGAAGATGCAGCCACATTCACCTGCATGGGAACATTCCCAACTCCAACCAGCTCCAATTGGATTCAGAGGATAGGGAAAACCAGAGAACCTCCTGCAGAGGTGACCAGACGAGGTGTTCCCCAGGAACATCCTTTCAGAGCCTGACACGGAAATATCTCTACAGATATTTTAGTGGCTCTGTATACAGAAACASCAATATTGCTATAGGGGCAGTAGCAGGTTACAGTCTCACTTTGGCAGAGAAGCATCAGCCGCACTGACCTGAAAGGTCACAGCGCTTTATTGCCACCAATCATTTATAAGAAAAGCATCTCAAATCTTCCAAACTCAGAGACGGAACCAAGACCATCCTTTAATCCTGGGCAAGGAGTCTGAAATGCCTCTGCCCCAGCAGGGGCAGGGAGCTGTGCCACCCGTGCTACGCCCAAGCAAGAGCGAGGTGCAGCTTTACCTGTCGTTGTGTGCGAGCTGGCAGCGTTTGATGTCTGGCACGGAGATAACACCGCAGCGCTTGTACTGCCCGTCGCCAATGGAGCGGGAAACCTCCAGCACCCCGAGGACTCTTCCATCCCTGCATAAGGAAAGGAAACATTAAGAGCACCCTGTGCACACAAGTAGACCCTTGCTGTGCTGTGCTCTGCTCCCCAGGCTAGTGTTTAACTACCTCATATCAGACCTTGCAACTCCCAGGCAAGATCAGATCTTCCCTTCCAAGTCTCCCAAGCTTTCTAAGTTTCYCAAAGCTTTACCCCAACAAACAGAGGAGAGGAGGAAGAAAAAAAAAGTCAAGAGAATTCAAGGCTCTTTCCTTTGTCTCTGTCCTAACTCAGGTCCTGCCCAACCAGGGAAGCAAGATTTACATGCTGAGCTGAGGCTTGAATCTGCAGGTTATCTTTTAGGGAGATATTTAGCAAAGCGTGTCTCAACACAAGCTTGAAACAACAGAAAGCAGCAGCAGGATTGAGCCAGGAGCCCCTCCTGGGCTCACTTATCAGAACACCAACACCTATAGCTTGGTTGGAATGAGCGCGACACTAAACCCTTGACCACAACCGCTCTCACGAAACCCAAGCTCCAAAAACATCCCA